TGAAAACAAACCATAATCTCATTAATTCTAACATACTTTAGCCCGTGACTTCACGATTTTCAAAAATGGCGGCGCCCTGTCGCTAACATCCGCCAGTTTGAGTATAAATGCTATTTAGGTTTGGTTTCACCGAGTTACAAAATCAAAACTACTTTCTACTGGTAGTAAAATATGTATTTGATTGATGGCCAATAGGATTTTGCATGACATAGCGTATAACATAACAATTTCTCTCGTGGAAGCGAGGTGGGTGTCAATATAATATTACTTACAATATTATTGTTACTTCGACCACAACCCCGCTTCTGAGGCAGAAATCGTTATGTTACAAGTTGTGTCATGGAAAATCTTTACGGTCATCAATCATATACATATTTTACTACGACTAGTAAGTAGTTTTGATTCTTTAACTGCCGTTGCGATCTGAACACAAGTAAGATATCGTTTCAGGCTTCCACAACGCTCGCTTCGCACTCACAAACATAACCCATTTTGCACGAACTGCGGGGTCCTGCGGAAATCTGTGCATGGCGAGACCATCGCCCGACCTCTAGGAGCAATTGACGACAACGCAACGATTTGGCATGTCGTCGTTGATGTCGAGAAATCATCAAAATGACGAGCTTGCTACACACTTTCTATACAACTAACTGAAAATCGTTCCTCATATGACGTCACTGCAGTGCTCTGGCGACAGAGTTACGTAACCTGTCTGTGGTTTCGTTGGCGAGCGAGAGTGAAGCAGGCGACTTTTTGGCAACTTTAATCACTCGGTACTAATTAACCACAAGTTTTTAAAGAATGAATTTGGTGTTCCGCATAAGACTGACCACAAATCTTTCATAGTAATAGTTAAAAGAGTTTATTTGTTCTTTAATACCCTACTCCACTGTCTAACAACTGGCTGTCTAACTAATGGGAGATAACCGGTGTGAGAAGGGGCTGGTGATGGTGTGTGTAGGGGCTGATATTTATTTATTAATATGAACAAGTGACTCTGGAGACTGATCTCGGTGTCATGTAAAGGTATTTAAAAGTGCATTTCATTTCGCATCCTATATCGCATTCAACCTTCAACATGGATGACAACCTCTATACCCAGATCTTGAACTTCTACACCAACTCTGATAACTCTGAGTACATCACTAATTCGGGAATTTCACGAGATGGAGTGTGGGCAACAGATGCAGACGTTATGTCAACAGCCAGTCTGTTAAAATGTGACATTTATATTTACAGTGCAGTTGGTCAGTCAATGCAATGGCTGATGTACCCTGTCAGCTTCAGCTTGAAAACTCACACTGTTTATGCTTTGTATCTGGAAAATGTATCGGACCATTTCAATGTTGTAACCAGTGTTTAATTGTGTGAGAAGTACAATAAAATTATAGTAGGATCCTTAATCACTTGTTTTCTGTAGGGATATAATCTGGGCTAGGGGGGTATACTATGGCCTAGTTCAGAACATACCCCGGGTATAAACTAGGCTAGCCCAGATTATACCTGGGGTATAGTCTGGGCTAGCCCAGTTTAACCCCGGGTATAGTCTGGGACAGGGGTATACTCTGGCCTGTTACACCGGAATACATCCAGTTTAACCCCGGGTATAGTCTGGGACAGGGGTATACTCTGGCCTGTTACACCGGAATACATCCAGTTTAACCCCGGGTATAGTCTGGGACAGGGTTATACTCTGGCCTGTTACACCGGAATACATCCAGTTTAACCCCGGGTATAGTCTGGGACAGGGGTATACTCTGGCCTGTTACACCGGAATACATCCAGTTTGGTCCTTTAATATATTTAAACTTTCTTCATCTATTTATTTTTTGCAGGATTATAACATTTTCATAGAATTATTTTTGTTTAGTGAAAATATGTTATTCGTTTGCTGTAATGTCTCCATTTCCAGAAACTAGACTATGATCTGATCTGCAAGTGAAATTTCTGTTTTCCAAATGACAAAAATACTTAATAGATTTCTCCCCTTCTTCGCATCATGTAATTTTATTTCTAATCTGAAATCCTCTTATTTTTTCTTCTTGCATTTTCTGTTTTAAGTTTTCAAAGTTCCGGTAACAGTGTTTCATGAATATTTTGTAGATGACTACGTACAGTGAGGCTTCCACGTCGTTTATATCATATCATATTTAATAATCTTACTAATTTCTTCTTTCTTTAAATAAGAACTATTCGATATAGATTTACCTCTAATGTTCACCAACCGGGTTTCCAAAAATAGGCAGTCGTCAATATGCAACTCAGCTTCAAGTCGTCAGTACTCAGTGTATGTATAACTTACGTGTTTTATCTTTGCTTTCTTCGATGATTCTTTTAATCAATGTATATGTACCGTAACAGAGTATCATTAAATTTCCAATACCCTCCACCTCTAGTTTTATTAGTAATAGAATATACCAGTTTAATTGCAGAATGGTCAGGGTTTTCAGTTTCAATAGAGGTGTCATAGCGTCTAATTCAGGACAGCCATCGTCCAAATATTTCTAAAAACCAAAAACTATGTAGCCAAGCCATGTGAGACCTAATTGTAATTATTTATATGATGCTAATCTGCCGTCTTAATCCTTATCACTACCACAGTGTACATTGTCTTGTCAGCCACCCTGTACCACGCTGTCACTTTCATTAATTACTGTATATGACATAATAATAATAATGAGTATTTATAAAGCGCTGTATCCATCCACAAGGTGCATGCTCAAAGCGCATAAAATGAGAGAAAAGACACAGGTAGTGAAATAATCGTATGAAATAAAACGTATGAATGATAGCCTGAAATAAAGCCTATGAATAATAGCAGGAGAAAATGTCTATGAATTAAAGTTCATGAATGATAGGGTGAAATAAAGTCTATGAATAATAGCCTGAAAATAGTTGCGTCTTGAGTTTTGATTTGAATACAGTTAATGATGATGAAAGTTTGATGTCCAGAGGAAGTTTGTTCCATAGTCGAGGAGCAGCGTGGCTAAAAGACAGTTGTCGATAGCTGGTAAGATTATACTTTGGTGTGTTCAGAGTTTTTATAGGGAAGTACTCTACTAGCATATTAGAAAGATATGGTGGTGCCATATCATTTTGACATTTGTACACCATACACAGAATTCTAAAGTTGATTCTCGCTTCAATGGGAAGCCAATGCAAATCCTTAAGAACTGGCGTTATGTGCGACGAATTTGGTGTTCTCGTCACAATCCTGGCAGCAGTGTTCTGGACTTCCTGTAGTTTGTACAGATGACGTTTACTGATTCCTATCAGTAAGCTGTTACTATAGTCAAGTCTAGAATGAACAAGCATTTGCACCAGTGTTTTAGCGGCATCTCGTGTTATGAGATGGCGTACTTGACTGATAAAGCGGAGATGGTAGTAACAAGTGTTTTAGCGGCATCTCGTGTTATGAGATGGCGTATTTGACTGATAAAGCGGAGATGGTAGTAACAAGTGTTTTAGCGGCATCTCGTGTTATGAGATGGCGTATTTGACTGATGCAGCAGAGATGGTAGTAACACGTATTACAAAGTTTATCTATTTGCAGTTCCATAGTAAGCTGAGAATCAAAGATGACGCCAAGGTTTCTTACATGTATAGCCTTAATTGGTCAACCTCTTCGCCGTGTCTGCCATCACATCAGCTGGTCCAGGAAGTTGTATTGTTTCTCTGTCTGTCCATTGTTGAGTCTTCCCCTGTCCATTGTTGTCAAAAACTATATATATGCTCACATCTATATTGTCAAGGAGTCCGGTATTTCGACTGTCTGTGTTGGGACGACCGCGAGCAGGGTAATGCATCTCCTAGGAAACGTCCTGTTGTTGAGCTGGAACTCCGCTCACCTCATTCATGTATACTTGTTTGTCTTGTGGAACCAACTAAAGACGTTTGAACTCAATCTATTCTTCCTCTTTGTCAATGTGTTGCTAGCCTGAAATCCGAGCTAGTTCCCCTGACGCACATATACGCGTTGACAGAGGAATTATGAATGTCGTAGGAGACGAGAAAATAGTGCATTCATGGTTGTTGTTGTCTTGGAGTGAGTGAGTATGGTTTTACGCCATATTCCAGCAATATCATGACACCCGAATGATATTCCAAGGGATTGCATGTATCGAAGATGAATATTGCATACAGATTAAGGAAAATGCAGTACCAGTTGTACATGCTGTACGAAGGGGTCCTTTAGCTTTGGATACAAAAATTCAGAAAGAATTACAAAGAATGGAGGATTTAGGTGTGATATGTAAGGTAGATGAACCAACCAGTTGGGTAAACTCAATGGTGGTTGCACCTAAGTCAAATGGTGAAATTAGACTTTGCTTGGATCCTACTGACTTGAATAAAGTGGTGAAGCGTGAACATAATAGAATGCCAACTCTGCAAGACATAACACCAAAGTTGGTCGGACAGAAGTATTTTACAGTGTTGGATGCCAAGTCATCTTTCTGGCAAGTACCACTAGACTCCCAGTCATCCCTACTGACAACATTCAATACTCCATTCGAGCGATATCGATTTATGAGATTACCTTTTGGAATCAAAAGTGCAAGCGAGATCTTTCAAAAGAGAATGGACAGCGCTTTTGAGGGTTTGGAGCATACTCACCCTATTGTTGATGAAATTTTGATCTCAGGTAGCACGGCAGCTGAACATGATAGTCATCTCAGACAAACTATCCAGAGAGCCAGGGAGAAGGGTATTAAGCTGAATCCAGATAAAACTCAGCTTTGTCAACAAGAGGTGAAATTCTTTGGTGAAATTCTTACATCTGACGGGATGAAACCAGATCCTGATAAAGTTCAGGCTGTGAGAGACATGAACACTCCAACTTGCAAGAAGGAATTGGAAGGGTACTTAGGCATGTTTACCATCTGGCACAATACACTCCAAGTTTGTCAGAGAAGACACACATACTACGTGAACTAACAAAGCAAGATACTTTGTTCTGTTGGACACCGGAACATGAAGCAACATTTCAAGAAATCAAGAATATGATCACTAAGTCACCAGGGCCTATTTTACAGTACTTTGACCCAAAGAAGCCAGTGACTCTTGAGACTGACGCATCACAGAATGGTCTAGGGGCAGTCATATTTCAGGATAAGGGACCAGTTGCTTTCGCATCGAAGGCAGTGACTAACTCGCAGAGGAACTATGCCCAAATAGAAAAGGAGACGCTTGCCATTCTATTTGGTTGTGAAAAATTTCACTACTATCTGTTTTGGAGAAATTTCAAAGTCATAACCGATCATAAACCACTAGAAGTTGTTTTCAAGAAGCCATTACATGCTATTCCCCTGAGACTTCAACGCATGAGAATGAGACTTCAGATCTATGATGCAGATGTAGAGTTCACACCTGGGAAGAATGTACCTGTAGCAGGCATGCTGTCTCGGCATTTCATAGAGTCTTCGTCAAACAAAGATGACCTGTCTCTTGATGAAGATATCCAGTCACATGTACACATGGTGACAAGCAACTTACCAGTATCTGACAAGAAGATGGAAGAGATCAGAAAGGAAAGTAGTGAGGATAGTCAACATTTGATGCTTATGAAGATAATCATGAACGGATGGCCTCAGAATTTGCATGATTGTCCAAGCAGTATCAAGGAATTTTGCAATTTCCGTGATGAATTGACAGTTATAGATGGAATTGTCTACAAGGGTGACAAATTGTTATTCCAATTTCCATGAGAAAGGAGATGTTAGAGAGGATATATACAGGCCAAATGGGAATATTCAAGTGCAAAGAGAGAGTTCGTGATGTCATATTCTGGCCGCGTATGACAGCTGACATTGAGAGAACTGTTGAGAATTGTGGCACTTGTCAGCAGAACAGGATGAAACAGTGCAAGGAACCGATGATACCCAGTGAAGTACCTAAGTTACCATGGCAGTTCGTAGCAACTGATTTGTTCCAGTTGAATGGACTTGACTACCTGCTTGTAGTTGATTACTACAGTCGATATATAGAGATTGCTTGCTGTCAAACACGAAGTCGAAGACTGTGATTACTCACATGAAGTCGATGTTTGCACGGCATGGTGCAGAGGTACAGATAAGCTGCGTATCTGCGTAAATTACGCAAATGTTTATGAGAAAACGCAATTCCTATTAAGTCTATTGCGTACAAGTACGCTTGGAGTTTGGTAAATACCCAATAAATGTGATCTTACATGCGTACAAACAAAAATGTCAAATCTTAGCTTGCGTAACGGTGGATAAAATAAAATAACTGCGGTATACTGAGAGGTTCTATTTCAGGACATGAACTTGACAACCTGCAGTCTTTCTTATCGTTTCTCATATTAGAGATCAAATATAAATAACGAACACTAACATTTAAACTTTTTTATATTTGTAAAATTAATGGAAAATGGAAAAATACCCAATTGAGTTTGAGTGAGGTGAGCACAATTTATTAAGTTACTCAAAGGAAAATTAGGATAACCAATTGAGATGAACACAAGCGAGTACATAACTCAATGATCCAAAAAGTTATCTGTAGCTCTGATGGTGTACCGAGCAGAATTGTCTCTGATAATGGGCCACAGTATGCATCAGAGGAATTCAGAGAATTTGTTCAAAAGTGGAACATTGAACATATTACCTCCTCACCCTTGTATCCACAAGCAAATGGTCTAGCTGAAAAGTCTGTACAGACTGTGAAACGACTACTGCTTAAAGCTAAGCAGAGTGGTGATTATCCTTATTGGTCTCTACTTGCTTATCGCAACACTCCATTAAGTGAGATGGGATCTTCTCCTGCCCAGCTACTTTTGTCAAGAAGTCTCAGAACTGACTTACCCAGTCATCCAGATTTACTGAAGCCAAAAGTCATCAGCTGTGAAAGTGTGCATGAGGCAATGGTGGATTCTAAAATGCGTCAAAAGCATTACTATGACAGATCTTCACATCCGAGACCTGCATTAAGTACACATAACAGTGTGAGATTGAGGCAAGGCAAGGATTGGATACCAGGTGTCGTGACGGGTTACGCCAACACACCTCGTTCATACCATGTCAAGACTGATGATGGTGCAGAGTACAGTCGCAACAAGAGAGACTTGCATTCCACCAATGGGATTATCTCCAGTGTACCAGGAGATCATCTGGCTGCTAAAAGCAACGATAGTCCAACCGAGTCAACACATGTGGACAGTACACCACAGTCAGGAGTTCGGTCTATGGTCCCAGTGGACCTTCGACAACCAATTGCCTGTTCATCCAGAGGATGGGCAATCTTTAAGCCATCAAGATTTGAATGACTTTAAAAAAACTGTGGCAGTATACCTGCAAGAACTTTGTTTCATTGAAGTGGCTTTCTATTTGTACAATTGTAGCTAAGACAATGTTTAACAGTCAGCTGCTTTGAGCCATAACAGAATGGTCTTCTATATTTTTTTCTTCGGTTAGTGTCTGAACTTATAAAAAAGAGGGGATGTAAGATATTCGTTTCGGTTAAACTCCTACATTTGATAACAGTTCGTAAGAATTTGCCTGTATAAGTTTTTGGAACCACGCATGCGCAGTGTGTATATCTAGCCATGTAGTGCCGCCGAAGTTGAATGCAGTTGAGAGGAGCTCACTATCGCGTCACGCCAGCGCAATACAAAACATTTTCAACGACAGGTGTACTCTCTGTGCGATAAATGAGTAAAATCATTAACAATATTTTGCCTTTGTCGAAAACCAGAGTTGTCTGATGCATCACTCGTGTGTTTGAGGTCAGATTACACAATGTCACACAGTTTGGGGTAGTTCAGCAAGCTAAACGGGGATGGCCTAAAAGTGGGTAAGCTGGTTCCCGGCTCCCTTTGCGCGCGCTAACGTTCGACAAAGCTATATTGCGATATGCGAGACGGGGCCCAGCTTAAAAAGTCGGGCCAAGGCGGGCCAAATCTATTATTGGCCAATTAACCCATTAACGAAAACCACGCCTACAATTAATCAATGCAACATACACTCATGATAATAATGATCAATCGGAAGTCACAAACACGTACCATAATAACTGTATTACGAGTAAATCGGCTAAAACACAAGAAGACGAGAAGCCTGTGAACTGGCTGAAAGTGGAATCGTTAAACGAAACGGGATTTAAAACGTATAAATACTTCAGCCAATTCCGATACACATTTCCGTCGGCCCGAAAATGTTTTTACATCTATATCCAATCACATACCACCCCATAAATTCACTATTCATCGTATTTAAAGCATGCCCACATTCAAATGATACGATCTCTTCCCAACACTCTCAACATTGTCTCGGCCACAATTTTCCGCCCGGCTTGGCTCGAGCCGTCAAAAGCAGCTTAAACGTAACACACGTATCTTGAAATGTGTTTAATTCCATTGACTGGTATGATATCTACCTAAATATCGCTTTGTAATGTTATAAAATGCAACATGTAAAGAAAACTGCTCCGTTAAAGTGAAGCCCTTGTCTTTTCAACATAGCCTCAATCAAAAGTGTTTAGTCTCTGTTCAGCCCGACTTGGCCCGTGCTGTCAAAAACAACTTAAACCTCACTACTTATCATCAATTTATGTACATGTATTTTGGGCCGGAGGCCTGTTACTGAAATAAAATTCTGTTCTGTTCTGTTCTGTTCTGTAAACCTCACACATGTATCTTGAAATGTGTTTATATCCATAAATTAGTATTATATCTACCTACATATCACTTCACAGAGTCTCAAAGCGTAGTATTTGAAGCAAAAACCTTGATGAAAGTGAAACTATCTTTTCTACATATTCTCAACAAACAGTATCACAAGCGTTCGGTACGCCTTGGCCCGGGCTCTCAAAAACAACTTAAACCCCACACATGTATTCTGATTTGTATTTAAATCCATAGATTAGTATTATATCTACCTAAATATCAATGTGTGATGTTACAAAATGCCACATGTAAAGATAACTGGTTCGTTAAAGTGAAGCCCTTTTCTCTCTCCATTCACAATATAGTCTCAATCAAAAGTGTTTAGTCTCTGGTTTGACCCGTGCTGTCAAAAACAACTTAAACCTCACACATTTATCCTGTTTTGTGTTTAAATCAATAGATTAGTATTATATCTACCTACATATCACTTCACAGAGTCTCAAAGCGTAGTATTTGAAGCAAAAACCTTGATGAAGGTGAAGCTATCTTTCTACATATTCTCAACAAACAGTATCACAAGCGTTCGGTCCGGTTGGCCCAGGCTCTCAAAAACACTTTAAACCCCACACATGTATCCTTTTTGTGTTTAATTCCATAGATTAGTATTATATCTACCTAAATATCAATGTGTGATGTTACAAAATGCCACATGTAAAGATAACTGGTTCGTTAAAGTGAAGCCCTTTTCTCTCTCCATTCACAATATAGTCTCAATCAAAAGTGTTTAGTCTCTGTTCAGCCCGGCTTGGCCCGTGCCGTCAAAAACAACTTAAACCTCACACATTTATCCTGTTTTGTTTTTAAATCCATATGTTAGTATTATTTCTACCTAAATATCACTTCACAGAGTCTCAAAGCGTAGTATTTGAAGCAAAAACGTTGCTCAAAGTGAAGCCCTATTTTCTATACATTCTCAACAACCACAAAGTATCACAGTCATGTTTTCGGTCCGGCTTGGCCCGGGCTCTCAAACACAACTTAAAACCCTCACATATGTCCTGATTTGTGTTTAATTCCATAGATTAGTATTACATCTACCTATATATCACTGTGTGATTTTACAAATGCCACATGTAAAGATAACTGCTCCGTTAAAGTGAAGCCCTTTTCTCTCTCCATTCACAACATAGCCTCAATCAAAAGTGTTTAGTCTCTGTTCAACCCGACTTGGCCCGTGCTGTCAAAAACACCTTAAACCTCACACATGTATCTTGAAATGTGTTTAAATCCATAAATTAGTATTATATCTACCTACATATCACTTCACAGAGTTTCAAAGCGTAGTACTAGTATTTGAAGCAAACACCTTGCTCAAAGTGAAGCCCTATTTTCTATACATTCTCAACAAAGACACAGTATCACAAGCTTTCGGTCCGGCTTGGCCCGGGCGCTCAAACGCACCTTATACCTCACAGATGTATCTTGAAATGTGTTTAAATCCATAGATTGATATTATATCTACCTAAATATCACTTTGTAATGTTATAAAATGCAACATGTAAAGATAACTGCTCCGTTAAAGTGAAGCCCTTTTCTCTCTCCATTCACAACATAGCCTCAATCAAAAGTGTTTAGTCTCTGTTCAGCCCGACTTGGCCCGTGCTGTCAAAAACAACTTAAACCTCACATGTATCTTGAAATGTGTTTAAATCCATAGATTAGTATTATATCTACCTACATATCACTTCACAGAGTTTCAAAGCGTAGTACTAGTATTTGAAGCACCTTAACCCCCTAATAGTGAATGGTATCAAGAAATAGGAAATTACCCGCAGAATTCGAAACTGTGAAGTGTATTTGTGTGCGTGGGATATTTTGATTTTTTATTGGACTTCAAATTGAGGGTTGAAGGGGAAGGACATATATGTCCCTGTGGCATCCAGGGGGGTTAAACCTCACAGATGTATCTTAAAATGTGTTTAAATCCATAGAATGGTATTATATCTACCTAAATACCTCTTTATTGAGGCTCTAAGCTTTGTACATGTATTTGAATCTAACACGTTGCTTAAAGTGAAGCCCAGTGTTCAATCTGGCTCTGTGCGGGCTAATGAAATTAATACACCTGTTAGTTACACCTGTATCCAGCTTGCTTAATTGCCTCTTGTCTAATTGCAATCAGCTAGGTGTTGTGATTCAATTAACATACTCCATTGTTGCCCTTAATTACCGTTCAAAGGCCTTCAGTGTTATTGATTACTCCACCGTTTCTTCATAACGTTTATCACAGATGTATATATAATATATAATAGATATATATAATTATTTATGCTTCCACTCGTGTTATGCTGCGTATGGGATGTTCTCCGTACATGTTCCAGAGTATAAACATTAATGAATACTAGTACCGATACAGATGGCAGGCTGAAGCTATTCGTGATATGATTTACACATATAATTAACTTAATAAATATCAGAAGATATTACACCCAATTATATGACATGAAATGCTTGAAAGAGGTGGGTTTTTTTATTGGTTCAGAATACAAGATGTTCTCCGTACAGTTTCCACAGTATAAACATCAATTCATACTAGTACAGATATAGATAGCCGGCTGAAGCTATTCATGACATGATTTGAACATATCAGTAATTTAATAAATATCAGAAGGTATCAGCTAAAATGACTTGCCGTATGAGATGTTATGGTAACAAATTTGAACATACGAAAGTATGAAAACACATCCACCGCAATGACACTGTGTTTCCCAACTCAGGCTCGGGAGAACATTGTTTTCACTGTGAGAGCTTTGCCAAAGGTTACTCGGAGATGCCGTTTCCGGATGTTGTAAACTTCAAGCGTTTCTGATAATCCTGTTTTCCTGAACACGCATGCAGACAATAGAAGTATTAGAGAGAGAAGTGGGAGAAGAATGTTTCCATTAAATCCACAGTGTCTCACCTAACTGTCCGAGCTGGGCAGTAGCAGCCTATTTTCAAATCATCTGATCTTTACATGTTGCATTTGATAACATTACAAGGTGATATTTAGGTAGATATAATACCAATCTATGGATTTAAACACATTTCAAGATACATCTGTGAGGTATAAGATGCGTTTGAGCGCCCGGGCCAAGGCGGACCGAAAGCTTGTGATACTGTGTGGTTGTTGAGAATGTATAGAAAATAGGGCTTCACTTTGAGCAACGTTTTTGCTTCAAATACTACGCTTTGAGACTCTGTGAAGTGATATTTAGGTAGATATAATACTAATCTATGGATTTAAACACATTTCAAGATACATGTGTGAGGTTTAAGGTGTTTTTGACAGCACGGGCCAAGTCGGGCTGAACAGAGACTCAACACTTTTGATTGCGGATTTCGTTTTCCGAGGACTTTATTTTCCTAAATCGTTGGGAATGGAGAGAGAAAGGGGCTTCACTTTTAGTTTACTTTATAAAGTGGTATTTAGGTAGATATAATACCTTTTTGTGTTTCATGTGTATTAGTAAATATAAGCATATGCATACGCGCTGGCTATCTGCTTTGGGCTGGTATTGTTTACAATGAAAACACATAAGAATTTTTGTATTTGTGAATGCATACTTTGTTTGATCCTTTATAACATATTACAAAAGTTTGTGATTTCAAATATTTCTTTTAATATACATAATCATGTCATATTTGCCCATTGACACTCGCCGATATCCACGTCTCTTTAACATAAACAACATCCTGTGCTGATTCAGCCTGAGACAGTAAAGGTTAATTAGGGAACCCCAATATCTTAATTAAGGAAAGAAAAGCAGTCAAAACACTGTCACTTCCTGCCCAGGACCCCCGGATGTCACACACTAAGAGAAGTAAGCAACCTTCCCCTATAGACATATCAAGGAAAACACATAACAACAAGACGGTGTCTTTTCTACGGGAATCTCGGTATGTATAGTCATTGTTGTTGTGTGGGTCTTTTCACCAATAACTATACATTTTCAATCAAACTATGCATTTGTGAAGGCGGGAAGTGTATCGACCTAAATGTGCAGGTTTCGTTTTAATATTCTGCAATCCATTTGTAGTATTACCCGGTGGCCCGGCCCGGCCCGGCCCGACTTTTAGGCCATCCCCAAACGTCGTGTTCCTACCAAGGCATATGCCCCGGTAGGAACACGACGTTTAGCTTGCTGAACTAAGTTTGGGGAGGAAATGTGATGTCGTTAACAGGCACGTAGCTACCATTATTACAATAAATCCGAGCTTACACATGAATTGTGCTGAAAAACATTTTTTTTCTAATTCTTGCCCAAAATATCTCAAATACAATCTAAATATAAAGCTTTGCAACCTATCGGGCTCACACGAATTTTGCTGAAAACATGTTTTTCTAATTCTTGCCAAAAATACCTCAAATACTATCTAAATATTTGCAACCTATCGGGCTTACACGATAAAATCAGTTTGCTACGTGCCTGGTTAAAAGTATGCAGCGGTGAATATTTGATGGGCAATAATTTGCTTTCAGGTTTCCCGTCAGTTGGCGTTGACTTTAGCCTTATATCTGAAGATAATCAGTGCAAGTAGAGTTCATATTGCCCTGTGGTTATTGGCTAAACCAATCCACACGAATGACTGGGCGTGACCTGAACAGGGGCGTTATTCTCACTCAGCACGCTTCCCGTGTATAAGCTGGCGAGCGTCTGTTTGTGTTGATATGTTACCGTGGAAACGTTACAGTCATCAGCATCCTTATTCATAGGCCCTGCAGTCACAGCTTAATACTTAAAACCATGTACACTTGGGATGTACTCCATAGACCATTACGTTATAGTACATGCATTTCTTACCTGACAAATCCTGAATTGACATCTTGTTTTAGTACCTGATGTAGGGGCTTTGATGAGTTCAACAGAATATGAGGCTGTGTTTCATTCAACATGCTAATATATATGACTTCATTTTGAGGAAACCTATACACACCTATAATACGTAAATACACAAAAACCTACACATATCACAGACGTACGTATAGGGAAGTATGGACTATTTTATGAATACATTTTGTTGAAATATTCCTTCGCACATGTTGAAAACGTGATACTTAGAGGGGACACAGTCAACGTGATACTGATATATGGCACGAGGGGACACAACGTGATACTGACGCCTACTGATATATGGCAAGAGGGGACACAACGTGATACTGACGCCTACTGATATATGGCAAGAGGGGACACAACATGATACTGTTGCCTACTGATATATGGCAAGAGGGGACACAACGTGATACTGACGCCTACTGATATATGGCAAGAGGGGACAACGTGATACTGCTGCCTACTGATATATGGCAAGAGGGGACAACGTGATACTGACGCCTACTCATATATGGCAAGAGGGGACACAACATGATACTGCTGCCTACTGATATATGGCAAGAGGGGACACAACGTGATACTGACGCCTACTGATATATGGCAAGAGGGGACACAACATGATACTGCTGCCTACTGATATATGGCAAGAGGGGACACAACGTGATACTGACGCCTACTGATATATGGCAAGAGGGGACACAACATGATACTGCTGCCTACTGATATATGGCAAGATGGGACACAACGTGATACTGCTGCCTACTGATATATGGCAAGAGGGGACACAACATGATACGGCTGGCTACTGATATGTGGCAAGAGGGGACACAACGTGATACTGCTGCCTACTGATATATGGCAAGAGGGACACAACGTGATACTGACGCCTACTCATATATGGCAAGAGGGGATACAACATGATACGGCTGGCTACTGATATGTGGCAAGAGGGGACACAACATGATACTGCTGCCTACTGATATATGGCAAGAGGGGACACAACATGATACTGCTGCCTACTGATATATGGCAAGAGGGGACACAACGTGATACTGACGCCTACTGATATATGGCATGAGGGGACACAACGTGATACTGCTGCCTACTGATATATGGCAAGAGGGGACACAACGTGATACTGCTGCCTACTGATATATGGCAAGAGGGGACACAACGTGATACTGCTGCCTGCATGTGGAAAGAAAGGACACAACTTGATAAAGGTGCAAACGTATCTTCTCTATAACTTAGAGCGGGACAGAAGGTTGTCCGCCGATTCACAGGCGCAGGTGTCTCAAATGCAGTAAAGTAGCTCCAAATAGATGTATCACAGATACAATCATTAAACGTTAGTTACGAGAACGAGCTTATATCATGGCTAAACCAAGCAGTACAACATCTGCAAGAGGGGGAGCAAGAATCTCTTGATCTTAGGTAATATCTGCCTGTAATCAATGGAGTGGTGTTAGTCCTTGTTAACACAATATGTGCTTGAAGCACAAATGAATGTGTGGCTGTCAGTGGGATTACATGGATGTAATCACACGAAGTGACTGCATTTAGTATTCCGTGATGTGATGTTCTTTGTCGGCTGTGTAATGAAGGCTGAGTATAGCACATGGCCTAATCAATGTGTGGGTATTGGCTACCGTGATTGGCGAGCTTTGGGTGCCCCGTAGTAATCGATAGAGATGATGCTGGTGGCTCATTATACAGTCGGCATCAGTCTACCCACTCTGACGCTCTGCTGGAAACATGGCAAGGTAAGCATGGCAACTATATCTATGTTTGTCAGACTTGCAGCCCAATACACACTGTCGCATGATCTTCAGGCAGCCAGTCTGTATTAGGTCAGTCGTTTAGCCGTTTTCAGATGTTTTATACAATGATGATTTCACAAACGATTGTGTCTACAGGTAATACAAACTATGATTTCAGATCGAGTATCAATAATTACTGAGGTGACAACATTATCAGCAAAATACTGTAACAGGAAGAATTTGAATGTAATATTTTTTAACCTATTTATAATAATGGGTTCGACCTTCCATACCGTGTTTGGACGTTGTCATGGGTATGCTATATAAAACAGATTATCGGACGTAATGGATGACTGAGTAAATATGAACAGAGTGTATCTAAAGTTAAGGTTAGTATTTGACACGTGGAGACATGACCATTGATCCATGTTAGCATTTTCAGTACCGATTTAGGGCGCTGCCTTTACTTGTTGATGGCTACTTAAACATCGGCTAAGGTTCACAGCCGTCTGTGCAATGTGATAACGGAGCACATTCTACATGGCTGCATAAGGAAATAGCAAAGTGTCACTGTGACCTATCGACACATTTTCTTGCAATTCCTGACTATGACACTGAAACCCGGGGACAGTCACGGGTGATTTCACGTAAACTGTCATGTTTTGACTCATAAACCCTCGCAATGATATACGCAATGTCAGTGAAAAGTCTTATTCAAGCAATTGCACGGGTGACCCTATATGATGTATCAACTGGCGTCAGTGCTCTCACTGATTCGACCAAATACAGACAGGATTTGTATAACACAACTTGTTACAATGTAACCATATATGACACCTCTACTACAACTGTGTAATGACTACATCTGCTACCTGACCATATTGCGGGTATGCGTATACTGACTTTATTACACCTGTATGTACCGACTATTTCTCGTGTACATAACACACAGAAATACACCTGTATACAGACTGCATTATTCCCGGTGCAGCTGTATATGGAATATAGTACACCTGTATACCGACACCTATATTATACCTATAACCGAACTATATATCACCTGTATAATGACTATATCTCTGTATTTACTGACTACTAATGAATTACACCTACAACACGGATATTAATGCACCAAAATACTTGCTACATTGATCACTCCAGATCATCATGGCTAAATACTGACTCACTGGCAATCAGAGTATAATATATCATGGCTGCCTTTACACTGTTATCTGTCCTTGCATCTAGCCTTCGCAATGTATATGTTGATATGTTGCTAGGCAACAGGTTCCTGTTAGTGCTATATCCTTTTCATAGCAGGGTGCAATAAATGATAGAAAGTATGCAAATGGGTGTCTTTTGCCTAATCTGGTGCCCCTTGCACCCGCACATCCTGGTGTTTTTCTCCGTGTGTATCCAGATGATGTAGGGGCCATACTTTCAAGGGTTTCCGACATTGGTCTTGAGGTATAAGCTTGTACTGAAGACACTTGAATGTAACCAACAAAGACGATTTTTCATAACTTCAAATGGCTACAAAGTCAATGTTCTGGGGGCTGTGACATATTATAGTTAGGCTGTCGAATGCGTATTTCAATGAGCTTTCCATGTATTTATAACACATGGTAGTGCTTCCTAAAGGGGTCATGTGTCCAGCCCTTAATTCAAAATGTTTGGAAATTACGTTTGAACCCGATTTAGACGTGCAGAGGCTATTCCGATCACTTGGATAATATCATTCGTGACTCGACAACAGTGGTGATTATTTGTTTGTACAGTTCGTCCATGTATAGCTTAACAAACATTTATTAATGATGGCATGAAGGCAATGAACTGACTGTTGAAGACGAAAATAGTTATCCAGCACTTGATTAGTGTGACTGTATTTTAGACAGTGAACAGTCTAATCTACTCAGGAACTGTTTTCATGTGAGTTTATTTTTTAAAAATGGAGAATCGTCCATCCAACTATTTAAAAGAGAAATGCACTCTTTTCACAGAATTGATTAAATGCTTCTGTTTCTGAAACGAATCGGAGACATTTTCCCTTCAATGTAACACAATGTCATATTCAAACAGTCGTTAAAACCACTTCAGAGGAATTTGGAAAGGCTTGCTCACTTGCAAATTGCAACATTTCGATCCACATTGGAAGAGAAACCAGACAGCTATGTGCTCGTCTCTGTATCCGGAACATGCCTCCTTTCACCCAGAACAGCCCAGGAGCAGTGTCCGAGACTGCTGTGGGAAACTTTGTAAAGTTATTATAGTTCGGTTCCAAAACTTAAAAATGAAATTCTTCAAATCGACTTTGATAAAGTAAACTGTTGCAAGAGGAAGATAACGGATGGAATATCACCCCCCAGAAACACATTTTTGTAGTGAACATTTCTCTTCACATATCTTTCCAGGACACGTTATATAGACGTATTCGACACTTTGTAGTTGATAGGAATATAGTATTGTTAAGGTATTGCGCGAAATCTGTAGTATTATATTCATGTGCTACCTGTTGCAGGCGAGTTCACGGTGACCACATGACATTGGGGCCTATGAGCAGGGTCAAGAAGCAGCTCACGCGTACCTTGGCGGTGCTACCTGGACCCGCTCATCCTTACCCGGGGGTGGACGACGTCACTAGAGACAATGACGTTGACAAGGTCATCACCCGGCGACGCCTGTCTAGGGCGGATACTCTTGCAGGCGAGGAGCCTGTCTTGGAGAAGACCCCAACCAAAAACTGGAAGAGGCTGCTGCGGCGTCAGCGAACCATGGGTGATATTGGTGGAGAGTTGCAGAATAAACCCTCGAGAGGAAAGCTTAACGGTCTCCTCGTCCGTTTAGACAGAGCTGCGAGAGGTTCTCGTCTCACTCGTAGCTCATCTATAAGTGGGTCCTACCCTGATATAAGTCATCTGCACGTATCGTTATCTCACTCTACATGGAATGAAGGCCACGGGTGTAATATCCCTGAAGCGATGGAGTTTGACGACGAACCAGGTGGTATTACCGCCGATAGTAAGTGTCCGTCACGAGGGAGAAATCATCTGAGTCTTCAACAGGGAGCCAATGAGGGCTATCGCAGAAAAACCGAAAACATAATTGTGATGGAGAAGACGCCTGGCATGCAACTTCGAAGTGGTAATATGATACAGTCCAGCAAGTTTGAGGCCAACGAAAGAACTGGGAATCCTTACAAGAGTCACCGACTTGCTACGAACAGTTTGCCGTCTTATTCGCAGATTTTAGAATTTCTATATTTGGGAAGCATTGAAGCTGCCTACAATGAGCCATTATTATGCAAACTGGATGTCCAGGTGCTTGTTGATTTGTCTAATGTACCAGCGTCACAAGTTCCTGTCGGAAAGAAGACCAACTGTCCATGTCTGTGCAGGAAACAGAACCACTTCCGGTCTCGCCTCAACGTAGGTATTGATGACATTGAATGGGAAAATATCTCCCAGTATTTCAGCGACATCAACAACTTTATCGAAGGCGCCAGAAAATGTAACAAACATGTGTTAGTGTATAGTTACCACGGCAAGTCGCGCGCTGCTGCAGTGATAATCCAGTACATCATGCAACACTTCCGGCTGTCGCTCCGAGACGCCCACAGACTGGTGGCCACGCGGCGTCCTGGAATAGCTGTCAACACCGGTTTCTGGAGAGCACTTCAACGCTTTGAAAAGCAGATTCAGGAGTCGGGGGTGCCTTTCAGAAACCCAAATAACGAACCAGGCTTGGCTTTGGGGCCACCTAGAATTAGAGACGCCTGGACTGAAACATCCTGAGCAATTTCCCTACAGTGAAAAGCTCATTGCACGACTACGAATACTTGCACATTAGCTCGAACCAGCAGTTTTGTAGAAATGTATCAGTTAAAATTGTACAGTATATGTCCCAATAAGGTGTATGATTGTAACATAAGTTGGTGACGTCCACGTGTATTATTCCAAGCTGTGGTCTGCGCATACAGTACGCTCAAAGGTGTCCTCCCAGTTGTGAGAACTCCCAGTTGTGAGACACATTAATTAATGGTTCAGTGCACATAGGTGGTGTTTCCACATCCCTACAATGAAAGTGGGATCAGCCCAGCCCAGTACCCACAGGAGGCATAGTTCATTGATGAGTTGACTAATGAAATAGATTATCAAAGATTATATTTACACAAAAGAAATAGTTCATTGAATATTTTATTTATTCAGAAGAATATGTAATTATGATAACACCTTTTTATTGACTATTATGAAGTTTGAAAGTAATTTTGGTTTAAACATATAATTAATTTATGAAAATTAATTGGGATTGGTGAAGTATTACTGCTTATGTTAACACCGCTCCCATGCAACATAAAATATAAAATGAAAAGGAGGATGTGACGTCATCGATATTGACTATTGCATAAATATGTTTTTAAGTACATATAAATATATACAGATTACATCAAATACAACTATTCTCTAAGTAGTCATAATTAGAGACTTACAGTTGTGTGTGTCTAACAAGCCACTGTTGGAATATAATCAATCACGAGAAGGTTGTTGAGTTAATTTCAGCATTTCCCTGTGAAAATTTGAAGTCTGTGTCTTGATGACGGATTCAACTATTTTCTGGTTTACATAAGGAGTAAATTCTTTGTTTCCGTTCAAAAACTTATCCAGGTTATAACGGGTAGTTGATATCCAGGTTATAACGGGTAGTTGATATCCAGGTTATAACGGGTAGTTGATATCCAGGTTATAACGGGTAGTTGACATGCAGGTTATAACGGGTAGTTGATATCCAGGTTATAACGGGTAGTTGATATCCAGGTTATAACGGGTAGTTGACATGCAGGTTATAACGGGTAGTTGATATCCAGGTTATAACGGGTAGTTGATATCCAGGTTATAACGGGTAGTTGACATGCAGGTTATAACGGGTAGTTTATATCCAGGTTATAACGGGTAGTTGACATGCAGGTTATAACGGGTAGTTGATATCCAGGTTATAACGGGTAGTTGACATACAGGTAGTTGACATCCAGGTTATAACGGGTAGTTGATATCCAGGTTATAACGGGTAGTTGACATGCAGGTTATAACGGGTAGTTGATATCCAGGTTATAACGGGTAGTTGACATCCAGGTTATAACGGGTAGTTGATATCCAGGTTATAACGGGTAGTTGATATCCAGGTTATAACGGGTAGTTGACATCCAGGTTATAACGGGTAGTTGACATCCAGGTTATAACGGGTAGTTGATATCCACAAGAGCAACATGCACTGTCTATTAAATGTCTGTTATACTTATTGGCGTTTGGGTCGCTACATCCGAGCCTGAGGCAGCAATGAACGATTTGACAAAAACAAGAGCCATAATTAAGATCAATATAAATCTTGTTTTCTGTTTTTGTAATTAGGTTTTAAAATTCTTTGAGACTGCATAACTCTTTGGAATTTGGTACGGCATTCTATAAATTTATTGTGTCGGGTAGAAAGGGTTTGGCATAAGTGGCATTTCGACAGTACATTTCAGAGTTATTTCAGAGTTATTTCTTAAACTATAGCTTGTAGTTTCGGAGACGGAGTAAATCTGAGTAGGTAAATTAATTTCTCTTTGATCACGAAGTTACCTACACAAAGTGTTTAATTATTAAAGACATTTACCTGAGTATGTTAATCAATTTATCTTATAAAGTTTTATTAAGTTACCTCCACAAGATTCAGTTACATAGCAAATCAGTAATTAGCTATGGTGAATCCATTCTATCAGACAGTTGAGTATGGTGTGTTTTCGTTGTTAATTACCTACTCCACTGTCTCATAACTGGGAGCTCTCACAACTGGGAGCTCTCACAAATGGGAGTAGACCCGCTCAAACAATGCAGTATATCAACATGTTTGGACCTTGGGGACAATATCCATTATGCAAAACTTATTATTGCATAGTGGACGACGTGTATATGATAATAGCATTAAACCTGCATTTATATTGGCAGTGCGATCAAGTACCTGAGTTATGTTGTGCATTACTACTAGCATCTTCATATGCCTAACGGGAACATGACCTATACATTATTCTGCCTGTTGACATTGGTGCTTGCCCGTTGATATATGTCCACATACGCCTTCACTGCCTGTTTTCATTCTTCTGCCAGGTTCCTGCTATGGTCCATACAGGTAGCAAAAGTACTGTAAGTCCCCATGGGGACCATGCATGGTCCTTAGTATGGTGATCTGCCTTCAGTCCAATTACATATTATGTTGTTGATTAATAAATTTAAATGCTATCAACTAGTTGTACCTAGTCAATCTAGTTACCCTACTGTCCATGGACAGGTTATTTAGTATTTAACTCAATTTATAATTTATATTCAGATTCTCGCAACAATATGGCTGAAAACCAGCCGATGTGACATTAAATTTTAACTCACTCAGTCACTCATCTGTCAGGTTGCTCTGCGCTGCTTGTACACCCGGTTGGATATATAGCAGGACGATGTTCAGATGTACATGGACAGATTTTATGCCCTTACCCCATACCTACAGTGAATCAGACAGTAATGTGGAAGTTCAAATAATGTTACCGATAGATGGCGGACAAAAGCACGCAATGTTATTTTGCGGAAGAGACGGGGTGTGAGCTTGACATTTCTTAAATGACATCATATATATGTTGTTGTTTGCCCTTTCAAGCACAAAAAAGCTTCCTTTTTAAGGTATCACCGTGATACCCTGTATAATATCTATACAATGTATAATTCCCCAGCTGAACAACGTAGTTATGGGGACAGAATTAGTATGATTAACATATTCTCCGTCATGACAGATCACGTTTGTATCAGGCTAGTCGTTTCAACCTATGGTAGAATGGCTTTCCCATACCGATCTCTGTATGAATATGCATATACTCATGATCACTAACCATTATAGTGAGTGAGTGAGTTTAGTTTTACGCCGCACTCAGCAATATTCCAGCTATATGGCGGCGGTCTGTAAATAATCGCGTCTGGACCAGACAATCCAGTGATCAACAGCATGAGCATCAATCTGCGCAATTGGGAACCGATGACACGTGTCAACCAAGTCAGCGAGCCTGACTACCCGATCCCGTTAGTCGCCTCTTACAACAAGCATAGTCGCCTTTTGTGGCAAGCATGGGTTGCTGAAGACCTATTCTACCCCGGATCTTCACGGGTCACTAACCATTATAAGGCTGTTTGACTTCTATTTAGATTATTAGATTTATTTTCTTTGACAAGTGAAACTGGTTTTTTTATTGTTATATAAACTCTTCAAAACCAAGAAACGCACAGGTAAAAAATATGGAAATGTATTAAACGTATTTAAGTGTACATCAGTCGAATTATACTTAAATACGTTTAATACATCCGATCAGTAGATGAAGGAAATTCGACACACTGATAAACATATGTATTTTTTCATTGTCAGCTTTAATTCCGTTCACTCACTGCACATGTGTGGTCACAAGGGTGCGTTCAGGTCAGTACCTGGTGACACCACCCCTTGCAGCCGTCACTACTCGACACTGCCTTGGGTGGGATTGCACAAGTCGTCGGATTTTTGCTTGGGGAATTCTTCGCCATTCCTACTGCAACGCGTTGCATGGCAAGTTCTGCAAGTGTCTGAGAACGATGGTGACGTTTAAGGACGCGTCGATCAAGTTTAGAGATGCTCGATCGGGTTTAGATCAGGCGATTTGGAAGGCCAGGGAAGGACATTGGCGTTTGCATTGGCGAGATAGGCACCTGTTACCGAGCTGTATGGGGTTGAGCGTTGTGGAGCGTTGTGGAGCTCCCTCTGGTGATTAATATGTGGGAGGATGCGAGGTCGCAGGTTTTGATCGATGCGGTGTTTTGCTGTAGGGTGTCTTGAACCACTACCTCAGATCTACCCGTGTAGGACATGGTTCCCCACACCATGCCGCTTTCTCCGCCAAATCTGTCCACCTGTCGAACCCAGTTCGGCGCAAAACGTTCGTGTCGACACCGATAGACACGTTGCAGCAGGAAACGCGATTCATCGGTGATGTACCCATGCCTGTACCCAGTTGCCCTTTGTACACGTAGTTGTCGGTGTAGTCGTGTCGGTACAGGTCGAACTTTTGGTCGATATGCTCAAATTCCCACTTTTCTCAGACGATTTCTGATGGTTTGGTCGGAAATTCTTCGAAGACCAGGCACCTGTCCTGCAGTGTCCGTTGCTGTGGCAAATCGGTGAAGTTGGTGAAACACCCGGATGAATCGGTCCTGAGCAGGAGTGGTCACTCTTGGTGTTCCACTTCTGGGACAATCTTGGGTCGAATTGAAGCGAGTATATCGATGATATGGTGCTGTGGTGGACGTTGAAGTTTGATATGGTGCAGACTGGGACTCCCCTGCTTCCAAACGTCCAATGGCAATATTTCGGTCAGCAGCATTTTCAATCTGGGTATTTTTTATCTTGGTTTACGTTGTAAATTTCGTAATTTAATGATGAATTTGGTTTGTCCTTTTATAGTCGATGTCTTTACTCATGTTTCCGACAGATTGCACGTGCACTTCGTGGAAAACTTTTTCTGCATGCACTTTTCATGTATCGTTTTCACTTTTTATGACAAACGTTTACTTACACATCTTGGGATGCGTTTGCGCGCAATACACAACAAACGACATGATTAACGGGATTCAAACATAGGAATTGTCTTAATGACGATTGCTGTCAAAATTATCGAAATGAACTGCTGAAAACGCCTACAAAGTGCGTTTCTTCTTTTTTAAATGTGTACTCGGGCCTCAATCGAACTGACATAAATGTGTTTCACAATTAACCTAATAAATGTAGATTATACAGGAACTTGAATCAATATAAACACGATACATGTTAAGCCGTCAGCTATGCCCGTTGAGTCGTGAATTCACTCGCGGTACTGATTTGAGTATTTACAGACGTAAGACGGTGACACGAAGTGACCGCTCTTGTTGCGTGACGTGATGGG